ACCTTTACCATCCCCCTTATTTCCTTAAAACAACAGCAGCATGGACAGGATATTTCAGCGCCTCACTCAGTTTGGGGGGCATCTCAATTTGATTTTAATCTTATAATTCGTAATCTCCTTACGTGGAAAAGTCGAAAAAAGCGAGGATATCGATAAGTAATTGACTCATCCCCAGATTCCAACCAATGTGTTCGCCGTGGAGGAAGTGGAGGTCTGTTTCTAAACAAATTCCAAAATGGCGGCTACCGTGAAGAAACATGGAATTCGTAAAAGACGTTTTCCGCAAAGCGCTACAAGGCATGCGTTAGCTTCACCCTATCTTCTTGAATGGTAACAGTTTTCTCTCTTTATTGGGACAACTACGACTTAACAACTTTGTAGTTTTACCAAATTTTAACAGACATGTTACATGTAAGCTTAAAATAACTTCTGGACGCGATAAAATATTGAAAGTTCATTTTAAATGAAGTTATAAATACTTTGTAAAGTCTCTGGAATGAAAAAAAATTTATAGAATTCAAGCTGGTTCATTTGAACTTCCTTTGAATATTTGTTTTACATGAAAATCTACTAGCTGACGTTTACCATAGTAGCACATTGCTTTTCGATCAACCATTACTACACTTTTATTATTATAATTATTATTATTATTGTTATTATTAACATTATCATATTATCATTATTTCAAAGGCCTGCACTGAAAAAAGGAGAGGGTAAAGTGATTATTAATGAGATTATTAGGTGAGTATCATACCTAAAAAGTAGAAATATGATGTTTGCACTACAAAAATAATTATTGTGGGAGAATTGACCTGCTTTTATTGCTGGCTTTCACTGTCACACCATCATCAAAATCATTCAACAAATAAAGCCAAGAATCAATGGGATAATAGAAGATAAACATTCAAATAGTCTGGCAAAGATTCAGGTCTGGTTGATGTTTCATGCAAGAGATATTCAAAGAAATACTTTACTCAAATTTAAAAGGCTTTGTATGGAGATGCTATGGGTGTGTCCCATCGAGGGGCACAAATATGACAATGGGAGGCTAAGTTTTGCAATAAAAAGCCTGCATTCGTCTTCAGAGGGCTCATAAACATCCACATGAGTATTTATTCTCAGACAAGGTGTGTTCAGATTGTAAAATCTCAGTGGATAATTCTCTTTAACCTTTGTGACAGCTTTTGTGGCTGCCATTTTATTATTTGGTTACATAAAAGCTTAGAAATTCAACCTTGCTTTATCACAAGTTAGGTGAAAACCCCTATCAAACTGAAAACTAGTAAAAAGACGAGCCTTCAGCTGTTCTTATAACTAACTATTTATAAAAATAAATACCAAAATCTCAAAAGGATTGATAATTACTCAAAATTATTATAATTTATTGTAATTTTGATGACATCACATGAAAATCAAGAATAAATAGTGTAGCAGTAAAATCCTTATGCTGCTCTTAATGCTTATTTTGGTACTATTTGGCAAAATGTTGTTAGGTAAGTAGTTGAGTGTAGGTTAGTGCCTTGTTATGTAAAAAAGGAATGTTAACATCTCAGTAGAAAAGTACAAAGCATTTGACCCTGTAACTCCTAAGATCTGAGTGTTATTTCTCCCCTCTAGCAGCTACAGTTTCCTTGTAAATTAGTTACAAGAAGTTTGTATTAGATCAATGAAATGAAATTCAGAACATTTGAATTGCAAAATTAAGTGTCCTTCGTTCATATTAAAATTGTGAAAAAAAAAGAGAAAAAAATGCAAAAGCCGTCAGCCAAACTCATGAGATTAAGTACCTGTGAAATTCAGTACAAGTAAGGTTCAAGTCAATTGACTAATAATGAACACTCATTTCAAGAAACTTTGTTCAGTACAAGTGAGCATTTTCCCTTTGCAGGGTACTTGAACCACTTCAATTTGAACAACTGTGTACTAAATCAAGGAAAGCTTCTGAACAAAATGAGAAGGATAGAATAAAGCACCTGAGATCAGGCCTTCTATTGGGCCTTTCAAATGTTATAAAAGGCTTGGAAAGAGGAACTGTCAGATTGGTGTTGGTAAGAAAAAAACATTTCCATTTAATCATACCATTATAACTATGAATGACAATTTTTTGGGACAGGCTTTTCTAAATTATGTTTATAATACTTGAAGTCACACTATAGACTTTTACCATGGGGAAATTGATTAACCAAAGGAAAATTTTCCTGAATTCACTCATGGTAAATTTATCTTGGGTTTCAATTTCCCAAGATCAAAAAGTTGTACCAGCCTTTGTCATCAGTCTCTGGGTTGAAAATTACAAGACACTCAAAGCAGCAAAACATTTTGGCGCACAAATCAAGTTGTTAATATGATTGAAACACAAGGATATCATATATTTTTTCTCTGATTTCATTTCAATTTTTTACATCTTTCAACAAGCACAGCTGTGACAAAAGTTATTTTCCTACAACATTTGATAGTCGGCATGCACAACAAGGGTGATGAACCATATTCCTCACCAATGACAGTATCGTTATTTCCTCTTCAGAATGTACATGTAAGCTGGTTCTTGGACTAAAATAAACATTTAGTGGAATATTCCAAGAACTGAAGATATAAAAGTGAGTTATACTCACATAAGAATTCTTAAAGGCACCATCATAAGCTGTTAGTGAAAAAGAGCATGTTGCTAAGCATCACATGAATTAAAAATGGTTTCACAACATGACATTCATCCACATCAGTCATTGACATAATTATACCCACCGATAAGAACAGATTGGTTTGGTTGAGTGGGATTTCAAGTTTCCCTTTCTGTTGCTCTAAGGTAGCTATCATGGGGAAACCTTTTGTTCTCTAGACAGATCCTGGCTCCAGAAGCTAAAATTTCCTTGAGGTAATTTACCTCGAAAACTTGGTCATACTGGCAAGTTTAACTGAGTTTCCTGCGGATGGACTGTCATCTAATTTTGTTTTCCAAGAGCAAAAGTCTGTTGTGTGACCACAGCTGTTGTCTCATTCTCCAATGCTTTTCGCCTTAAGTTATAAAGTGATTTTTTGAGGTGATATGTTGGCTACCAGAATAGTAAGATTGTTTGTGCAATAGCAGGTGATAGGCTTATATACTACTGACAATGCATTCTCCTTAATAATCTCAAAGTAGTCCAACCTGTCAGTGCCTTGCTGATCAAGTATATTCCCTAACCTTCAACTTTGACGAACATGTCTAATTTATCTGCTTGCTTCTGACAGATCAATATTTCCTGATCCTCCCCCAGTAACTATTTATTTACAAGTAACCAAAAGAACTGGTTACGATTTTATTGTCTTTTCTGTGTAATTGGTGATGAGGTTTGGTTTAGCCTTCCTGTAAGAAGAAACTGGGGACTTGAGTGGGCTATTTTCTCCTTAATTTTAAGGTTGACCATGCTATTGAACCTCCTGCTCTTCTTCAGCATCTTCTCCTGTTGTGTGCAACGAGGAAGGCTCCTGCTTGTGCCATAACTGGTATGAGTGACTCAAGAGTACCACATGTGCTTGGGGTTCGCAAGTTGGCAGCTTTTGCTTTTAAGGTTGGTTAGCTAGGAAGTCAATCGAGAGCTTAGCATGGCCCCCTAATTTTGAGTTTTCATGATTTTTCCTTTAAGATTTAGCTAGTTTTAGTGCAAAAAAAGGTTTTCATCAAAAATTCTAGATATGGTAATTTTTCTTTCATTCTTTGTTATTTTGGTTCATTCTTTGCTAAGTGTGAAGTTTGATTCACACCCAACATACGCCATCTTTTGTCCTTAGCAAAAGAAAGGTTTAGCAATATCCATTCATCTGGTAATTTTCATCATTTGCACCAATATCACCCCTACTTGATGGAGCCAAATATTTTTTTTTGAATAATTATTTAATTAGTAGTTTATCCTCCATCAATTTCATGCAAGGCAATCTTATGATTTAACTTCTCTCCTTTTAAGAACGCTGATGTCCCAACAATATACGATGGCTTGGTTGATTATATCATAATAAGAATTTTGCCTCTGGATGTACCCTGGCTTCTTTCTAGTAGAGAGCATGGAGAAACTCCTCCCGCCATGAACACTGCTGAGGGAGAGGATTCTGATAAACATTTGCCAGGTATGCAGAATATGGAAAGGAAAAAAATTAGATTTCAAATGCAAGAAAATAGTAATGGTGGCAAAGGGTTCCAGTTGGCATATTCACAAGTTGGTACCAATGCTAATGAAAATTTGCACATTGGTGAAAGCAAATCAGCAATTTTGCAAGGTGCTGGGGATTCCAGTTGTAATTTTTCAAGCACTGACGAGGCCAACGGAATTTTACCTGGGACAAGTGCTTCTTTTGTCAGTTTGCAAGATGCTAGTACAAATATGTCACTAGCTGATGGAAGCCCATCAAGCAGAGGCAATACTGCTTTAAACTCATCAGATATCAGTACAGACAGTAAATCCAAACTGCAGTGTGGTGGTAATTATGCTAGAAATTCTCAAGGAAATCCTGAGGATACCCAACGTAGCAGTGGTGCCAAATTTAACAGAGACCACGGTAAAGGAAGAAGACATGGACAGCCAAGTTTAGTTTATCTAAGACCTTTTGTAAAGAGCTATGACATAGAGAAGGAAAAACTATCCAAGTAGATTATCGGATGGTGTTTTGACCAGAACGTTTACCATTGATTGTTGTTGTTGTGAAAAAAATTCTTTTATTGCAGCTGAACTGCGAGTATCATTTTTTTTTTTTACTTTAATATTAACTGTAGGTCAAAATGTGATTTATTTCATTTGATTGTGATCAGATTCCTTTACGAAGAAGGAATGAAGAACTTACTCAAATTTCCCTCACTCTCGAGATGTGGCTTGCGAGCTACTTCAGTTGGTCTAGAACTCAACTTTTACCTGACAGAGCTGAATAACTTATACGCATGCGCCAGGTTTTGCCGCGGAAACACGGATTTTGAGTCGTTCGCATGGTTGATTTCCTGTTCTGTTGCTTCGAGGCGTCGTTTTCCTTGCCGCTTTTCTTTTACAGAACAACCTCCAAAAATTTGGTACACCCCCTAAAAATTTTCAAAAATTAATTTTCGCCTGTAAACCTTTAGAAATAGGAAAGTGCCTTCGACGAAATCAGAGTTCCTCGGTTTTAAAGGTCAGCCCTTATTATTTTACGCTAATTTCGCTGAATTTTAGACCTAGGACACTTGAGCCCGCGTTGTTGACCGCATACCCATTTCATTATTCAGCTCTGTCCTATTACCTAGTATCTGGTATCTTTACTCTGACGAAGGGCTAACGTCAGCTTTGAAACTCTTTACGGTGGCTTATTGACGTTATCAACTCAATGGATAAAACCAAAATTACTTTGTTACTCCCACCTGCGGATCAAATTCAAGTGAAGAAATGCTCCGTTATGGGCCGTGTGAAAGATCGTGCAATAGATCGTCGTTTATGTTGAGTGATCTTTTTACAAAGCAAGGTCCTGCGGTTCTTCACTGAGAACAAATTGGCTTGACGTAATGCGACACCAAATTCCAGACAGTAATTTGGAATCTGATTGGCTACGCCACTTGATATTTATTCTATAATAGGCAGTGAGTAAAGTGAGAAGCCTAACAGTGTGTGGTAAGCCTAAGAGTGTGTGGTAAGAAACAAATATAAGGGCCATGGTTGACGAAAGGAATTTCTTACCCATCCACGTTCCTTAGCTTGGCCTTTATCTATAGACAAGTAAAAAGTAAAGGATTTATAGAGTTTAAAGTCTGCAAGGTATATAACAGGTATCCTGATCGCTTGTTCACTTGAGCAGATCAAGGCCCTGGTCTTGATACATTAATACATTGATACATTCATGACGTCTCAATCTTAGTAAGTGATATCTTTAAGTACGCCTTCCTGTATCGAAGCACGTGTTCAGTCAATGTTATTAGACTCTGGTCTGTTATTAAGCCCTGGTCTTGATACATTAATACTTTTATACATTCATGACGTCACAATCTTAGTTAGTGATATCTTTAAGTACGCCTTCCGGTATCGAAGCACGTGTTAAGTCAATGTTCGTAGACTCTCAAGGAGAACCAAACACAACAATTACCCAGATCATGGGTGATTAACATGTAATTTCTCCCTACAACATCAATAAATTCATTCATCAAACAGGTAATGAAAATACTCAAATTTAATGGGAAGAAGTTAATGTTTATCTAGCACCAAATTCTCGCAACTAATTTAAAGTAACTGTGTATCAGCTGGAGGGGAGACTTAAAAAAAAACCTTCCGTAGATCTGCGGTCGCCATCGCAGTGGTAGGTCAGTTCTGGCCACAAAAATCACGTTTTCTCCGTACAAATTTAACTATTCCTCAGTAACACGTTCTAGTGTGTGTCTTCGTCTTGTATAACGCTATTTCTCGTTAGAGGTCGTTCGTATGCTATTGTTACACTCACTCAACTGGACAAGCTTCGCCACCATGGGCATAGAAATTTAGGGTGGACGCTTCTTAGAGCGTGGGCACTTATTCGAGGATATACGTTAAGCCAGGTATGGAAATTTGTTAAAAAAAAAAAACTTACATAAAATAATTAGATACAAAAAGAGAAAAAGGAAAAACAAGGTAGAAAGGATGATAATGAAGAGAGCAAAACCAAAATGCAAATTTCCTGGGGAGGAGTTCCTCGGCCCCCAAGCCAGATCGAGAGTCACTCCTTGTCCGCAAATTCCAAATCATACTTGGGGAGAAGTTATTCGGCCCCCAAGCCAGTTAGAGAATAACTCCTATAACGTGATTCGAACTCGCGACCTCGATGACCTCTCTCGCACTCGTTGCGCGCCCACGATTGCCATTCGACCATCTGGAAACTAATTAATATGTTGGTATAAGTTGTCGGTGTAAAGAGTTTTTAAATATTGGGCTGGGGGGGAGGGTGAGGAACTTTGTGTGATTGAGAGTGCAATTAAGCGTTTCCGGTCAACAATAAAGGAAATGAATCACACAAAGAACTGATAAGAGCTATGTAAACGAGGAATATTAGCATATGTTGTAATGGCGGACGCCCTGGTTTGCCGGGGCTCGTCAAACACGACGATTCGATCGGACTCTTCTCAAAGAAGCTTTTAAGTATGTACATTGGGACAATGTTACACACCAGGTATCACGAATTTTTACCTCTGTGGACGCATTTTTTATACAGACATTCATTTTACTTTATGTTCAATTTTTATCAGACGCGGCATTTTTAAAACTTCATTTGTTGGATAAATCAAGACAGACTTGTAATGTTGTATCTTGGTGCGGTAGAACATATTTAATAAAATTATACTGATTGACATATATTTATGTAACCATATGAGCTAAACTAGTCCAGGAAAGCCAGTGCTAGTACAGAGACATGGAAGACATTAACAGAGATTGTAAGAAAGCCGAAATGTTTTGAAATTTTCTGGCAAGAAGACATTGGCCGCAAGACTTCTTGCTGAAAAGAGGTTTTACACCTTATATAATTTCTGGTGAAAAATGATTTTCCATAAATTCATGTTTGATCATCCCGCAGTTTCTAAACTCTAACCAATAATGCCTTATAATTGCCATCCGAATTTCATTCACGAAATCATTATCTGAGAGAAAGGAGGTGTAAAGTTTCCAGTAACCTGGACCTCAAGTAAGAAGAAATAAGATCAACGGATGTTTTCTTTGCTTGGACCTCCTCCCCTCTTGTGACCAACAAGAAGGGTTCAAGAGTAAGGGGAGTGGGGGTGGGGTTACCACATCTGTTAGGACCTTTAGTCGGCGATGGGGAACTTGACGTCTTGATTCATTTTGTGAATACACTCAGTGCTCATGGTGAACTACTGGGACAATTTGTGCTGGGTTATAGCTGCTGATGAGCCATAATAAGAAAGCGTAAAGTTGATTCTAATCGGCATAGCAGTAAAAGCAACAGTTTAAGTGTCATAAATGCTGCTTCTAACGAAGAGATGATTATACACCGAATGCAAATATGGCGTACAATTTGAATTGCTATTGTTCTGGACTGACTAGCCTCGTCTTCACGTGGAAACACAAAAGGATTATTACATGTGTGAGAGGCTATAGGCTAGTCAGTCCACAACAATGATAATTTAAATTGGACGCCATATTTGCATTCGGTGTATAGGATTATATTATTTTCCCTTGTTCTTAAATTGTACGGCTCCGTGCAATTACACAAACTGTTGTGCTTTCCTTTTCCCGTGGAGAATTCATCGTGAAAAACTGATTTCGGAAAAACAAAGAGAAAAGTACTAAAAGTATATCAGAAAAATACCACAGTGGCCCACAAGATAACGGCTCAGAAAAAAAGAGAAGATAAAAAAGGATTATAATAAGGGGGGGAAAATAGCGGGGAGGAGATCCCCAAGTCGGTTAGAGAGTTACTCCTTGTCCGCCAGCTCCAATTCATATTCGGCCCCCAAGCCAGATTGAGAATTACTCCTCTAGCGTGATTCGAACCCGTGACCTTGGTGACCTCTCTCGCACTCGTTGCACGCCCACGACTACCATTCGACCATCTGGAAACTACTTGATATGATAATATAAGTTGTCGGTGTAAAGAGTTTTTAAATATTGGGCTGGGGGGGAGGACGAGGAGCTTTGTGTGACTGAGAGTGCAATCGAGCGTTTCCGGTCATGAATGAAGGAAATGAATCATACAAAGAACTGATAGAAGCGATGCAAACTAGGAATATTAGGATTATTGTATTGGCGGACGCCTTGGTTTGCCGGGGCTCGTTAAATACGACGGATTAGGCAACAAAGACTTGTAATGTACCGCTGCGAGAGGACATATATAAAGAAATTAAACTGGATACATGTAGACACTATCTCACACTTCTTTAAGTATTTACTATGGAACACTTCTCTTCATAGAAATTCATTTGTTAGAATCAAGAACGATTTGTAATGTTTGCTACTGACCTGGTACACGAAAGAAACGTCTCACTTTTCCTTTTCCATACATACTGATTGCACCATTCAAAATACATGGCATTTTGGCATAAAATTAGATCCCCTCCCAAGAGGCAAAACTTTGCACAAAATAACAAAATAGCATGAATCGGGAGAGTTACTGAAAGTTTGCAATTTTTCGACCGTTAGCCGACGACATTTAATATTTTATAGAAGTAAAGATATGTTTCTTTTATCATACGTACTAACGATTTTAAGCATTGTTTATTAAACATTGTTTGCTACAGTCAAATTGCATCAGTAGCAAACTTTTATATTGCGCGCGCGAGAAGATTGTGCATGTTTGAGCCATATTTCTCGATCTTCCGCCACTTTTCGGCTTGAGATAAGCTATATTATTTGTTTTAAGACTATTTCTGTTGTGGAACGAAAAAACTTTTCAGTGAAACGAAGCGACTTTTTTGTGGAACGAAGTGACTTTGAATGGGAACGAAGTGACATGGAACGAAACGACCATGGTACGAAACGACCGGATACCGTTATCAATCTACGTGATGCAGTAGTATGGGAAGAGTGTGACACGCACGTTAACTTAAGTTTCGGTAGGTTTGCTGAATTCCTTTGCACAGATTTATTTAAAAGGTGTTCGCAGAGAAAGTGACGACTATCTTAATATGGAACGAAACATAGTAAAGATTTTATCTCGTAAAAAATAAATTTAGTGTATAATTCGTAATGCACTAGTTACTAATCTTGTCAATATTTGACATTTTATTTACATTAGGATTTATGTTTTTAATTATAAATACACGAACCCACAGGCTTGTAGCTTTAAATTTTTATCGTGTTTAAATAAAGGTCATCCATCCATCCATCCAAACAACTGTACAATTGATATTGCCATAGCACTGTTATGCTCGGACACGGCACAGTTAACGTTTTTGCCGGAGAACTGTTTATTTCGTCGTGAATATCTCAATAACTCTCATATTCCATGAATATCTCTCAAATCTCTCATATTGCACACTATGTCCAATAAAGTAGTTTTTAAAAAGCTGTTATACTACATTCTTCTTCTATCAACTTAAGCACCAAAGTGCCTGGAGAGTGAGTACAATTTTATGTCCACTCCTTGCCACTCTCTCCACTTATATAAGATACTGCGCTTTTCTTGTACATATAGCCTCGAACTTAACGCAGGATTGTGATACAACCGTAACGTTTGACCATAGTTAATTGACAAAATCAATCCTAAGAACCACTTCAGCTTTATATGTAGATACGGTTAAACATTATTATCTTTGAAAGCAAGCTGATAAAGTGTCCGATTTTGGACACTGGTTTGCTCTTTTGGAAACTAGTGTCCAAATTTTAAATATGATGCCCGATTTTGGACACTTAAGTCTAGTGTCCGAGTTTAATGTCTAAAATCGGACATTGGTGACTCGCTAGCGCCGGATGTCTTCATTTAGTAAAACGAGGCAAGAAAGTATACGGTGCAATGGTTGCGGAGGAGTGAAAAAGCGAAGGAGTTTTCCACGCTCTTTCACTCCGCTTCACCATGACGCCTACTTGTCTGTGCTACCCTTGTCAGTTCGAAAATCCGCGCCGGTTAACACATGACACATGCATTTTCAGCGGTATCACAAAACATCACGTGACTTGAAGGGGAGTGAGCAAGGAAGTTTCCTGTCCATATCAAGGTTTGTTACGTTTAGCAGTCTTTCACGTAATAAAGTCCCCAGATTCGTCGGCCAGAATAATGTGGAAAGCAGGGGTTGACACCAAAATGACTGTAGGTAGTGCTGGAGATGATGATGACTGGGAAACAGATCCCGACTTTGTGGTGAGTGCCAAACCGAGACTGACTTCCTCTTCGTGTTTGAGTCGATTCATTTATTTCAATATTTAATCACTTTACGCAACTTTCAGTAGACAATCGTGACAAGGTGCCTTTCAACTTAAGTTTCAGTTTCAAATTTATTTCTTGTTAGCTGATATACTAGTATCCTCAACCTAGCATGTTGATTTACTCCTTCAACTCTGTAAGAGCTAATTTGAGAATTCTTAGCCTCCATAAGTCACTCTAATTGCTCAGTTTCTGACATGTTCAGTTTCCAGGGATATTTATGTACGTCATGTAAGATTAAACGAAGAAATATTTCAGCCGATTACTAAGATTCATATCTTTTAGTGTTGTTTAATCTTGTTAATGATATCACATATGCCCCCATGAGATACAACAGTGATTGCCTCCTTCATTGGTTCAACAGCAAAAAAATCTCATTTTACTACTCCAGCTAAGTAGTGATGGTTCCAGGGAAGATAACCAATTTTATCAGGATATTTCGTTTAACATAATTTTCTTTATTGGCCTTTTGCATCAAATGGTAGAATTAAGAGATTTAATACAGGTATCAAATGACAGCTTTTACTGAAGATCTTTCTTCACTCAGCCATGTAATTTTATATTCCAGAAGTGATAGCTTTTTATGGCAGTTTATTTATTTTTTGGCAGAATGATGTTTCTGAACAAGAACAAAGATGGGGATCAAAGACAATAGAAGGATCTGGACATCAAGAGTCTCTGAAGTAAGTTTATCGTAATGAATTTAGTCAGGTATATAAAGACATAGTGTTGTTGAAAAAGCCTTAGGTGGCAGAGTCAAACCTTGATGATTTTGACTTGCAGAGACTGGACTGAATACTGAATATTTTAGTCTTGAGTTAGCTTAACCC